TGATTCACCACTGGGGCTGAGCGGGGCCAGGTCTGGGAGCTGGTGGGCAGACTCCGCCCCTAGAACTCCACCCAGCTCTGCATCTAGCCCAACCTCTGGCTGCAGGGAGCCGGCTGGAAGGAGGCAGCTAGTGGGCATCAGTGGCATCGGGTCTCCCCCTAGTCTGAAAGGGGCTTGAGAGGCAGATAGGGCAAGGCCTAGAGCCTAGAGCCCCATGCACCCCATGGAGCCAAGAAGACTTACTAGAAACAGACTCTGGCTTTTAGGAAGCTGGGCGTGAGGACAGCCCATGCCTGAGGAGAGAAGGCTACTAAAAGGGAGGCCCCTAAGCTTGGCACCCACTGGACATGACCACCCAGAGAAGGCCTGGGGCCATGGGGGAGCCATTCCACCTCTCCACCTCAGCTGACCCTCTTTGATGAGGAAAGCAGGGGTAACCACATTTCACATGGACCCCAGGGCAAAACAAAGCTGTCAGTCCCACAGGGAAGTGGATGATACGTTCTAGGGAGGGAAAAGACCAGGGGCAGTGTTGTGTGTGCTAGGGGACATGGAGAAAACTGCCTTCTTTGAGGGCCAAGGAGAAAGGAAGGTAAGCAGAGAGGAGCTCCCAGACATTCTGCTTCAGGCCCTCTTCCACTCACCCCCAAACCAGGCTTCTCCCTTCTTGACCAACAACTCAGATGGTACTATCCTCCTGTCAGTGTGACTTCCCAGCTGAGCTGGTGGACGCCGACAGAGTCTGGCTTCATCAGGAGTGGTGCACAGGTGATGTGCATGACATGGACAAGCCCGGGCCTTCACATGGTAACTGCCCTGGCCATGGCAGGCTGTCCTGGGACCTGCCAGATGTGGCCTCCAACTCAAAGGTATCCAAATTCTAGGCCACAACTGGAGCCAGACCCCTCTCAGGGGCAAGGGACACAGTGGGAGGGGACACAGGCCACCCAGACATCACTGGGACTTCGGGTCTGCTGACCTGCTGGAAAAACAAGCAGAAGGGCTCTGCTTGAGGGGAGGGCTGGGCCTGGATGACTCAGATCTGCCTCTAGTGACGGGGGACAGTCCCATCCTCTGGGGCAGCCTTCTGAGCTGGGAGCCCACCCACCCAGGGGTTGGCAAAGGAGGAGCTATAGTCTCCCCACAGAACTCAAAAGGGCCTTCTGCCCAAGTGGACACCATAAAAAGGGGATGCAAACACTGGGCACTCCTCCCAGTTGGCTGTGGCTTCCTGGGGTGGTCTCTCCATGACCCCTGGGTGAGTTGGGATGGGGACCCAGCAGCCAAGGTAAGAGAGCTGGGTCCCTGAGGTGGGATATCTGATAGGAACATGGCAGGAATTGTTGAGTACTGGTTGCTCAGGGCTGAGCCCCTCTGACCAGGTGGCCTCGGAGACGCTCCCACTGCCCAGCTCAGCCCAGAGAGCCAGGGCCTGGTGCCAAGTAGCTTTTCTGCTTGACAGGAACATCCCGGGAGTCATTAAACCTCTGCCCAGAGGCTCAAATGTCCAGGCTGTGGAAGGACCAGCAGTCAGAAAGGAGGTTGTGCGTCTGGGCTGGTCTGAAGCCTTCATGTGGGTCCCTCAGCAGTCAGGGGCCTTGATGGACACAGAGCCCCTGATGGTGAGGAGGAAGGTGGCCTGGGCTGTGTCAGGTCCACGGCACCAGGATCTAGAGGGGTCCGTGGGAGGCAGTCCAGCATGAGAGGAAGTGTTGCAGAAGCCTCAGCACCTCCTCTGCAGGGGTGGGCCCAGCTGGAGGTTTAGGCCCCGCACGGCAGGGGTCTGGGGTCCCCAAGGGAACGGGGCTACCTGCTGCCCGGTGTACATGGCATGGCATTGGCTGAGCTGGGAGAGGCCTCCTCACCAGTCCCGGCAGACCAGGCGCTTGGGATCAGAGGCGCCGAGACCAGAAGGGTCTAAGCTAACTCCAGATGGAACAGCACTCACGGGTCCAGAAGGCAGCTCCAAGCTGGCAACAACTGGAAAGAAAGGACTGGGCTACCAGAAGCTGGGGGCCTGGAACACCCGCTGAGCTGCAAGGCAGTTAGGGAAGCACTGGGCAGATCTGGTGAGGACCAGTCCTTTAGTGGCTGGGGACCCTTGCCATTGTTGATGTGGTGATGCCAGGGTGGTAGCGGACAGCGCTGGGGAGAGCTGGTGTGTCCTCAGCGCCAGCAGGTGGCAAGCTAAGGGGTGGCAGTGAAGGCTGGACAGGGCAACCCTGGCTCTCCCACACCGGCGAGTGCTAAGCCTCACAGAAAGGCAGGCAGGGCCCAGGTCTGTTGGGGGGACCCAGGCCTCTTGGTGTAGGGGCTTTCTCCAGAGATCTCTTGCCCACTCACGCTGGACGGGAGCCCAGGCATAAGGATGCTTCAGGAGGAAGGGCGGAGGCTGACAGAAGCCCCTAGTGTCTGTGCCCAGGGGCCCCAGGCCAGGGCTCCCATTCTGCTGACAGGGTGCTCGGGTCTGAGAGGTTTATAGGGTTTGAGAAGCAGCCGCCCAGCTTGGGGTCCCAGGCTCTGAACTATAGGTAGGAGAGGAGCCTGCTGTCCCCATCCCCACCATCTGAGAAGCGGTCTGTAGATGATTTTATCTGGTGGCTAGCGGAGAAAGAAGCAAGGGACCCCCTGGCGGGGCTAGTAATCGCAGGAGGGGCCTCTTGAGGTTCTTTCAAGGGACTCAGGGTCTCGGCACCCTCTTCCCAGGAGCCCAGGCTCTCAGGGCCCCAAGAAGACACAGAGGCCTGGGAGTTGGGCCCCTCCAAGACCGAGGCAAAGGTGCTGGAGGCACAGGGACCGGCGGCTGAGGCTGGGGGAGGGGTGGGAGCGCTGGATGGGGTGGATAGCTCTACTGATGTAGCAGCCTCTGAGGGGGGAGCCGCTAGGACACCCAGGCTCAGGAGCCCCACAGAAGCAACAGTGTATCTAGAGCCCACCTGTCTGCCAGCCTCAGTCCAGTCCAGGGGCTTCTGTCCAGCTAGAGGCAGGACAGAAGGGGGTCTGCAACACCCACCCCTGCCCTGGGGCCTGGAGGGGCTGCCCAGGAAAGGGGTCTGGAGAGCACACAGGACAAGAGCCAGCAGCAGGGCTCTGTGCCCCCCGACTGGGGTGTCCCTGTGGCCCTTCTCAGCTGGGGCTGGGGAGGAAGGAGCAGCAGGCTGGGCTGGGGGGTGGCCCAGGGGCTGGAGACACTACTCCCACCTCTAGCGGGAGGACCATGGGGTCCGAAGAGGCACGTTCAGACAGGTGGGTTGGGCCCTGCTCCATTTCCTCTGGGGGGGTTTCGGGAGACCCAGCCCATTCACCCCAACCCCCTTAGTGAGAACTAGGCAGGGCAGGAAGCACCTGGAGGTTACCAAGGGGGGTCTTCATAATCCCCTCATCAGGCAGAGCCCTGTGCTCTTCCTCCCCCTGTGACACAGGTTCAAGGGACAAAGCTGCCCCGTCACTTACCTTGAAGGCCTGAGGCTTAACTCCTGGTGGCAAAGCTAGTGGGTTGGACTCCTCTGCCTTTTGTACTGGGTCAGAGAGCCAAGTAGGGCGTTCAGGGGGCAGGGCCTCATTCAGGCCACAGGCTCACCTGAGTGCCATCCTCCTTTTATCAACTTAGGCCAGAGACTCTCATGTTGCCCAGTGAGGCCACCTGAGGCGGAGAGAAGCCTGGCAAGCAGGTCTGGACTCAGCCATTGTGGTGAAGCAGAGGCAGGTACAGAAGGTTCCTGGCCTCCCGGCTGGCCCACAACCCCCAGGACTGGATCTGCGTCTTGACACAGCCCCTAACGATGTAACCAGCAGCAAGTGCCGGGACCCATTTCCCCATCTGTAACCGGAAGGGAGTTGTCTGTGTTACTCAAAAGGATCCCTGAACACCTGACCCAGAATCACCGTAGGAGCTGGATTCAAACCCAGCTTTCTGGGCTCCGCCAAGGGCCATTCTTGGTGGGGCCTGGGCAAACATTTTCCAGATGATTCTGTGTGAGAAGTTACCTAAACTCAGCCCAGCCCAGAAGACTTGGACGGTTACAGGGGGACTGTGGGGCCTGAAGAGCCACATTCAGTCAAGGCAGAGTGAGCCTGCTCTGGCTTCCCTGAGAGGCGGGGGCCGCCAACACCCTCAGCTCTCAACACCCTGAATGAAGCATGGAACAGGCCTTGTGAAAACCCCTGAGGGGCAATAGTACAGCCTCCCTCCGACGGGAGTCCTAGTTAGTTCCATCCCTGCCCCACCCAACAAGGACTCCCAGGCCAGAGTTGTCCCCTGGGAGCAGCCACCTCCCCCTGCAAGATCCAGGTCCAGGCCAGTGAAACCCAGCCTCTGCACCATGGAGGCCCTCTAGGGCCAGAGCGGACAGACAGATGCCCCTGGGTGCTGGCCAGCTCTGCCTATGCCGAGGCCTCAGAGCCCACCCGGGACTGCTGGTGAGAAGTGGCAATGAAGTGTAGGAAGATGGCAGGGAGGGAAGGAGGGAGGGAAGGAAAGGAAGAGAAAAAAAAGAAACAAAGCCAAATCCTGAAGGTTCTGGCAATGAGGTGGATGAAGTCAACAGGGTGGCAGAGGGCCTGGGGGTTCAGCGACTCCACCCATGTTGTCCCCCATCTATGCCCCCCACTCAGGCAGCCTCAAGTGAAGCAGACTGGCTGCACTTCAGCTGTCTGGGAAACACGTGCACCACAGCCCCTATCCTCCAGGCTGGTGTGCTAGAAGCTTGCTGCATTCCCACCCATGTTTCCCGGCACTCCAGCCGCACCTGAGGTATTTTCCTTCTCCAGATATTCCTCTAGGCCTCCTCACATGCTGTTCACCGTACTCCGGGTGCACTTCACCCTTGCCTACCTTCTTCCTCTCTGCCTCCAAGGCCCACTTCCAGCAGCAGCTTTTCTGGGATCCAGGGACGCCTCCTTGTCCCCAAGCTAGGACTGGCCCCTCCCGAGCTTCCACAGCACACTTCCCCGGGTTCTGTCACTGTGGGTACCACATGTCGGAGTTGCCAGGGAACTCCTCAGGCCTGGATAGGCGGCAGCAGGAGCAATGGCGGCTGCCGTTCCACATCCTGGCCTAGTGCAAAGCCAGGCTCCAGCTGTTGGCAGGCCCAGGAGGGATACTGTAGCTGGACTCAGAAAAGGCTCACGATGACTAGGGTTGACACCGGCAGGTCTGACCAGTCCTAGTGGACTGGCCCTCTGTCTGGATGGGAGTGGGAAACCAGGAAGCCACCTTAGCAGCCCTGAGAACAAACCTCTTGCAGGAAGAGCCCAGCAGAGGCAGGGTCTCTGGAGGGTGTGCTGTGTCTCCCCATACCAGCTAAGGGGTGAGGAGGTGTCCCTCCGTGGGATGGAGTCACCAGCATGGGAACAGGTGACAGCACTGTTCTAGGTACACGTTGGTGGGCATGTCCTTGGTGCTGGGAGACGGGCATGGGCTAGGGTTGGTGACCAGCATTTCTCACTGGGGCAGTGCACTACAGACCCAACAACCACCAGGACCCACAAGGGTCTCGGGAGGGAAAGGTCCTTGAGCATGGCAATGGCTGCCCAGTGGACGGGTGACCAGGACCCACGTGGCCAGAGCTAGCCAGCACAATGGTGCCAGAGAGCCTTGGCACCTTCTGGGCTGGGAACAGGGAGAACTCCTAAGGACTACGTGATGGCCTATTAAACCTGTGGGCCCCCCCCCTCAAAAAAACATAGCCAGGCTTCAGGTCCAAAAACAACCCAAATGCTTTAATGTTTAATGGCCTGCCTCCAGGGCCCACAGCCTTCTTACAAACCTTAGCTAGGTCAAGGGCCCAGCTCACCAGCCTCTGGCTCAGTTTAGCACTCTGCAAGGAGGTAACTCATAGCAGGCCTGACGGGGGCTCTGGCTTAGGCAGTGCCAGGGTCCCTAGTCCACATCTTCGGAGACCCCCCAGGACTGCGCTGTCGTTCAGCCTGTCTTGTCTAGTCCCTGAGTCCCTGTGGCTGCTCGGCTTCTAGCAAACATACAACTTTCTCGGGAAGATAACACCGGGTGGAGGCGGCAGCTCAGGGAAGTCACTGGTGTCAATTCAGGACAGGCCTGGGGCCTCCCAGAGTTGAAAGCAGCAGGCCCAGAACAAGGATGTCAGCCCCAGGCTGTATCCAGGCACCCCCTGTAGTGAAGGAGAGAAGGGGCAGGCTCCCCCAGGGAGCTCCAGGCTGGGGGTCAGGGCCCAACCCCAGACACTGGGGCATAGGCCCAGGCTTTCCTGGGAAATGACTCTAGAAAAGTGTAAGTCATACACACTGTACACCATACCACCCTAAAATAACCAAATCCTATGACACACGAAGACTTTCTAGAAGGTTCTGCTTGCCTTAGCCTCCTATTCCAGGCTCTGGCTGGGAGCCAGGCCCCTGTCCTGGGGAGGAAGCAGAGAGCAAACCTCGATGGGTGTGTGTCAGACATCACCCCCACAACAACCCTGCGAGGTAGGCTGCGTTGTCGTAGCTTACAAACGGGGAACTGAGGGCTCAAGGAAGGAAGTGACTTGCCCGGTTCCACAGCAAGGAACACAGGAGCTAGAATTCAAGCCCAAGTCTGTTGAGCTCCAAAGCCCACACGTTTTCTCTAAAGAAGAAACAGGAAGTAGTCCTTTCTAATAATAAAGGTCTGCAAGTTAAAAGTTCGGAGGCTCTCAGCCCAGCGGAGCAGGGGGCGGGGCAGCAAGAGCAGAAGCTCCAAGGGCATGTCCGCTCCTGGCCCTGGGCAGCTGGCCTTACAAAAGGTAGGGGTTCAGTGACCCCCAAACAGCCACCAGCGCTACAGCGATGGCTCTGGCCACCCAGCACCTGTGGGTGAGGCACGGGCCACTCCGGCCCTCAGGCCTTGTGGCCCCAAGTAGGCAGTGCCAGGCCACTGAGCCAGGCAGTTTCCAGCAGGCTGCGGAAGCGGGCCCTTAGCGTGGGGCCAGGGGGGCTGGTGGTGGCGGCAGGGGCAGGGGAGGTACCGTGGGACCCTTCCCCAGCAGCTGCCCCTTTCTCCGGGCCAGGGGTTGGTGGCTTCCTCCCTGGCTTCCTGGCCTTGGGGACAGGTGACTTCCAAGCCAGGGCTAGGCTCTCCGGCTCATCTCTGGCCATGGTGGGTTCTGAGGAGGGCACAGATCCAGCCTCAGTGTCAAAGTCACCTGGAAAATGAACACACAGTCAGGCCGCAGGCCCCAGCACCCTCAGGCCCCATCTCCTGGCCTCCAAAGCCACCTAGACCAGTGGTTCCACTCTGCCTCAGGTCTGGAAGGCCTCGGCAGGGTCACGGCCATTATGACCTTTCCCCATGTGTGCTGGAGGCCAGACCATCAAGCCGAAGAGTATGCTTCTCCCCAGGTGATGCCAGAGCTCTATTAGATGACGGTACCGCTCAGGCGAAGTGTCTGGTGCAAGAACAAAAGGAAAGGGGCCAACAGGCCAGGAACTACTGGCTGTATAAGCAGGGAAACTGAGGCATGGAGAGAGAGAGAGCCCTGCTACATGTAAGTGTAGCATCCTTCTACCAGACCACCCCCAGAGCCCAGGAGTGGAGGAAGCAGCAGAGGGAGCAGGAGGGGGCTTCTGACCAAGAGCACACCTACTGGCAAGGGAGGCTGTCAGGGAGAACACGGACACCCATGGAAGGGTGGACCCCCCCCCCCAGGGTCAGGGGAGGACTCACAGCTCAGGGAGTGGGGACTGGGGTGCCAAATCCAGCCCGCAGCAGGAAGAAGCTGGGTCCCAATCAGTTCTGCACTAGGCCCCAGACCCTTGCAGGCTCAGGGCAGGGGGGGACTGTGGAGCACCCGGGCCCCAGCACCCAGCCGGCAGCCCAGGAAATACCGCCCTGTCCTCTCTGGGCCCGACAGCCCAACTGTCCAGGGAGAAGACAGGGCTGGAGCCTCTGAGCCATGCATGATACACCCCCCCCACCCCCGCTCAACAACACTCCCACTTGTGTTTTCTTAGCACCCATTAGGGCAAACGCTCCAACCTCTTAAGTGCTCTGGGGTCAGCATTGCTTATCACCCAGACCCCAAGCTCCCCATCTGTGCCTCACTGCCTCGGGTGCGCTCCCCACCCTGACATGGAGCCAGGACGAGGTAAGAGCCCAGGGCAAGGCTGCCAGGATGACGAGAAACCGTTCTGGTGGAGACACAGCCCAGACAGAAGCCTCGTGGCAGGATGGCAGAGCAGCAAGGAAAGACTACAGAGCGGGTCACAGGCCTCAGGCCTCAATGTGCCAGGTGTCCTGATGCAGGAGAGGCCACAAGGGGCACCACCTGGCACCATCACCAAAGTCCTGGCCGAAGAAATGAGTACACACAGCACGTGACCCCGCAGCAGCTGCCCAGAGCAGGGCCAAGTGACCTGAACCACTGCACATGATGCTCCAGGACATAAAAAGAGCAAGCTGGAAAACAATGTGCACAAGACGTCATTTAGTAGGAGAAAAGCAAACGACAAAACAGCGCTCCGACTTACGGGTGCACTTCCGTGAATATAAATACTGGGAGGACCGAAACACTGCACATTCAAAAGGCAACCGTGTTTGGGGGGAGAAGTCCCCGCTTTCGGGAACCAGGTGCCATTGACTGAGGTGGAGAAGGCGGTGGGAGGAGGGCAGAGGGCTTAGGGGAAAGCTCAGGAGTGTGGGTCTGGAAGGAGTTAAGGGTCGGAGAGATACCAGGTGCAAAGGGCCAGCATGCATTCAGTAATTTGGGGCTCAAGCTCAGAAGAAGGGACACTGTGTGGGACACAGACACAGGGGGAAGAGACCTCAGATAGAGAACAGGGCCTCGTCAGAGCCACAGAACCCAGAGAAGTCTGCACCGAGGCCAGAGAAGGCACAGCAGAGGAGGAGGGAAGCCGGGAAGCGGCGGCATCGGAGAAGGTCAAGAAAAGTTTCCAGAGGGACAGAGCAGCGGGCCCGCTCCAAGGCTTGCAGCCGACGCTGTGAAGACCCCCAGTGGTACCCAGGTGAGGAGGAATGCCGGGGGGCGGGGTCCACAGGGCCTCCCCGGGCTGGCCAGCACCCTCCCCAGCACGAGTTCTTGGGCCTCCCCGTGCCGTCCGAGGCCCAGGCGTCCGTCAGCCCTGGCTGCGACCACTCACACAGCCCACACACCTGTCACTCGTTCACACAGCTCCGGTGGCCACTGGGGCTGCCCCATGCTCACCCAGCTGGCGGCGGACGCAGTCACGCCACTGCAGGCCCAGCAGGTCGGGGTAGATGTCGGGCAGCTGGCGCAGCGCCAGCAACTTGAGCATGCGTGACGTGCAGCCGTGCAGGGCCCGCTCGCGCAGCGCCCGCTCCTCGGACAGCGTGGTGGGCCGCAGCTCCACGCGGTGCTCCTGCAGCACGTGGTCCACGGAGGCGGGAGGCAGCCGTGGGAAGAGCCGCTCCTTCACCAGGTGGATGGGCACGAAGATGGCCCCGGCCCGCACCACGTGGGGGAAGGGGCACTGCTGTGTGCACACGAAGCTCTGCAGCTGCGACAGCAGCTTGCCCAGCAGCCCCTGCACAGCCTGACAGTCCTGCCACGCCGCCCGGCCCCAAGGCCCGGCCGTCTCGAGCCACTCACGCAGCTTCTCGGGGGGAGAGTGTGCCACTGAGCCCGAGATGGCATCGCACAGGGAAGCGTGCAGTCCTGTGAAGTGTTGCTCTGGAGAGTCCGCCGCCGCGTGGGTAGAAGCTGGAGCCGGAGCCTGGGCCGGGGCAGGCGATGGGGCCGGGGCCAGGGTGGGGGAGGCCATGGCTACGGCTGGAGGGCTGGGCAGCGCCAGGTTGAAGCAGGCCACGGGCAAGGGCTGTGTGAGAATCTGGAGACCAAGGGGCACGGATGTGGGGGTTGGTACAGGCTGGGCAGACGCAGGGGCAGTGGTGGGCGCCGATGGGGCCACAGCTGCAGCCAAGGGTGCTGGCCGGAGGATCTTGAATTTTCGGAACATGAAGGCCACGGAGCTGTGGAAGTTGGTCCGTGGGGCGGCCTCGGTGGTCGCCGGTACCCCAGGCAGCCCCGGTGCCTCCGAGACTATCTTTTCCAGGTCTGGCAGATCCGAGACTGTGTTCCCCACAGCTGGCGCATCCAGGGCTGCCGTGGGCTTGGCACGCACCGCGGGACTAGGAACCCTGATGGGAGCCTCTGCCACAGGCTTCTTCACACTTAAGTCCAGGGCTACCTCCTCTCTAAGTGAGCAGTGAGCCTTCGAAGGGGCATCCCGGGCAGGCAGGGCCCCCCCCAAGTCTTTGGCAGGGCTCTCACCGGGGGCTGGGGCTGGCTCAGGCTCAGCTGTGTCCTTGGGTGCCGGCACGTCCAGATAGTCCCGGTAGGGGGCCAGGCTGAAGACATTGTCGATAATCGGCATGGGTGGAGAGCCGGGCGGCAGCGCGCCCTCGTTCGGCGCAAGAGACTGGTGCTCCCGGGCGCAGGGCGGGAGCGCCGGAGGGGTGCGTGGAACTGGGCTATCTCCAATGACAATGGGTGCTCCGGGGTGCTCACCGGGCTGGTGCCGGAGCTGCTCTTTCCTGCAGCTGGGCAGCCACATCTTCTCCTCTGCAGGCCTCCCAGGCTCTGGGCAGGGCTGGCTGGCGGGTAGGGGCTGGCATGCTCGCTGGAAGGCACTGGGCTGCGGCACAGCCTGTACATTGTTTTGGGAAGGTGGCGTCCCTCCAAGCCCCGGGGATGCTCCACAGAGAGTGAGGTCATCCCGGGTGTAAGGAAAGCCCAGTGTCTGGGGGGCAGCGAAGTCCAGTGGGCACCGGGGAGCAAGAGGTGGCTCCAGCTTGAGGCCTGGTGAGGGTGCTGGGAGTGGGGCAGAGGGGTAGGAAAAAGTATCCAGGCCCACTGCGGGCATATAGGGTGCCTGGGCGGCCTGCTGCCTCAGGTAGGGGCTGCTCAGCCCACCAGCTGGGTACCCAGCCCCCTTGTGGGCTCCCACAGGCTGTAGCGGGAGCACTGAGCTATAGCTGCCCTGCTTCTCTGGGTGGCGACAGGCTGTTGGGCAAGGCAGGGCCCGTGGAGGGTGAGGGGGCGGGTAGTGGGTAGGCACTGTATCCTGGCAGGCTGGCCCCAGGGGTTGGGCCAGCTGGGTCCAAGGACTGGGGGGTCCATCGGACAATGCCTGCTTGGGGTCCCCAGAGTAAGGGCCTGCATACTTGGAGGCCAGGAAGCCTGTGCTGTGGATGGTCCGATACTTCTCCAGAAACGCCTGGCACGGGGAGAAGCTTACTGAGTTTTTGCCAGCTGGCACCCCCCGCAAGAAGGTGCCATCTAGGGATGGGCCCTTGCCAGGAGTTGGGGTCAGAGAACAGGATGGGTCAGCCGGGGGTAAGAGGGGTCCAGTCACCATCGTCCAATCAACGTCCAGTGGCCTCTTCGCTGCCCCATCCCCCAGGCAAGTCGAGAGCCCGTAACACAGAGGGTTCCGGTAGACAGGTGTGGGTGCCGCCAACGGTGGGCCTGGGTAGGAAAGAGACTGGGGACCGAAGGGCAGGAGCTCAACAGGACCAGGGTCCTGCACCTTCTCAGAGCTTTCTGCTGGTGAGCGGTAGAGCAGGCAGCTGGTCAACAGGCTGTCCGTCCGAAGAGGGGGTCCTGCCACGCTGGGAGGGTACAAGGGTGGGTATGGGGTCCAAGATGCCAACCGCTCAGACCCTGCCTTGGGAGCACTCCCCATAGGGCAGGAGAAGTAGGCACCCTTGTAGCTGCAGGGGTCCTGGTTACCAGCAGAGGGGGGCAGGCTGTGCCCGGGCCCGGAGTCGGCCTCTAGGCGGGGCAGCTTGCCATACATCACAGGCCCCAGGGTCCCCAGTGGCCGCTTCTCCGCCATCACTGTGAAGGCTTCAAGCCCTCAGGGGCCCCAGCTACTCAACTGCTGACCTGGGAGAGAGAAGGAGAAAGGTAGGGGCTGTCAGAACAGGCTGCAGGCAAGCAGTTGAGGGCTGCTCTTCTCACTGGCTCACCGCCACACCTAAGAACTTGGCACCTAGCAGATGCTTGATAAAGACCATGGATGACTGAATGCATGAGTCACACAACACAGAGGCTGCCAACGTATACCTCCCACCCCCATTCCAGGAGCCCCTTCTGTTCAGCTTCTCTCCACATGACTCCCAAGACCCCTTTCCTGGGGTTTCAGACTTTCAGGGTACAGTCTGCAGATCCATTCGCTTGGCTACCCCCATTCCCCATATACAGATGAGGAGACCCATTCATCCCAAAGTCCCTGATAAAGGAAATGGGACAAGACACGGGCTTCCTACCTCCCACTACAGCTCTTATTCCAGATGCCATAGGGATCTCAAGATGACTGCTGCAGCCAAGATGTGCAATTGGACATTGTCTATGAATTCATATTTCCCGAGACACTCTTTAGGGCTCACTCTCTGACTGGCCAAACTCATCAAAAATGGCAGAGCCAAGCCTGGAACCCAGGTCCCTAGGCCCAAAGCAACACAGATACTGGGCTTGGTTCCGTAGGGTAGGGCTATTCCCCCAGGAGAAGTGGTGGGCAGCGTAGCTCTGTAGGGGCCGGGCCCTCAGCAGGAGAGCCGAGGCTGTCCAGTAGATGGTGCTGTGGCACCAGCAGGAAGGTCCCCAAGTGTCCAGGAGGAGAGCCTGTGTGCATCCCAGGCCCTCAGCTGCAGTTGGCTATTCCAAGGCATACGAGGGCAGCACAGCCCCAGGGACAAGCAGGTGGGGAGATGGGAGGATGTGAATGTCCAGGGCGGGAGTCCCCAGGGACCACAGAATGCTAGCTGGCTTCTACCCCCACTGCACTGACAGAAACACTGAATGCTACAGCAAGACTAAGGCCCTGAAGCAAGGGAAAGCAAGGATTGGGACCCAGGCCCAGAGAAGTCAAGTATGGGTTTCCTCAAGGCAGCACGTACCCAATGACCCACGAAGGGTCATCTGAGGCCAGTCTTCTCGGGCCACATCACCCTTCCTCCACCTCCCCTAGCACCCTGTTCCCTGAAACCCTCAGGTGGCTTAGAAAGGATGAATCGGCTCCCTCTCGCTATGATTAGGCCATGGATCAGGTGCAAGCTATAACCAGCCCCCTCTCCCAGCCCTCTCCTCCCTCTGGCTGGTGGCCAATGACAACCACAGGCTCAGAAGGAGACCATCACATCTTGGGGACAAGAAAAGCCAAGGGCAGTATGAGGGCCAATGCCCACTCCCATCCCAGCCTAACTGCACCACGAAAGCCAGGCAGCACTCTGAAAAAGTTGGCTCATCTCCTGGCCAGAATCCAACACCTCAGGCCAGCCTAGAGAAGCGGTGTCCCTAGAAGACCAGAAGGGCCATCAGGGTAACAGTACTGATAGCAATGCTCTATGACAGAGATCTGCATCCCAGACCGAAAGCCCCAAACTGTGGCACAGCAACCTTGCAAGCAGTTGTCTGGTTTTGGGGGTGCTAAGCCTCCCCCCTCACACTACCACGGGGAGCTCTGGTTTAATTAAGTACTGGCTCTTGTCTCACCTCCCCCACATGCCCCTTGGAGCCTGCTCCACACCCACCCCAACCCCAGGAGTCTTTCTCTCCTGGGCTCTGCCCATTGCGAGCCCTGTGCCCTGGAGACTTCCTGAGACAGCCTCCCCCTCCACCCTGGGACCCAGCCAACAGAAGTGAAGCCACCGGGACCCTAAGGGGTCTTTGAGGGAGAGATGGGGCTCTAGGGAGTCAGCACAGGACTATGAAAGATACAGGGCTGCCCTTACCCCCAGCCAGTAGAAAGAACCCGGGGTACCCTCCCTTGACGGAGGCCCCTCCCCACTCAAGCCAGTAGCCAAAATGTAGGTGCCTCCTTCACACACACACACACACACACACACACACACACACACACACACACACACACACCACGGAGGCGGCAAGCAATTGCTTGGAGAAGGACAGGACCCCAGGGAGCCAGGTCACATCACCCTTTGGGCCACCAAGCTGTTTGCTGGCTGAGGTTGGAGCTGGACTGGGAGGACCAACCTCGGCCAGGGCCCAGGGCAGGGTCCAGAAAAAGAGCCCACCGCCACGGTGCCATCCCTGCCCTAAGCATCAGGGGAAACAAACAGCTCTTCCATCTCTTAGCGGCTCTCCGGAAGGCCAGGGACGTTGGGAGTTGGGAAAGACCAGGAAGAAGAGAGCGATACTGCCGGGCTAGGGCCTGGCATCTGGCCTCCCCTAGAGGGCTGAATCAGGACCCCTCCGGCGTCCTCACACCTCCCCCAGCTGAAGCTCTGGGCCCTACAGAAGCTGGCGCAGCCTAGGCTCCATTGGAGGGGGAAGGGTCGCAGGACCGGCCTGCACCACCTTTCCTCTACCTGCCCCGCCCATAACCGTGGTGCCTGGGGCCCTCCGCCAACCTGGCTTTGGGGCTGCCGCCGCGCCCGACCCCGCGGGCTTCCGGGTGTCCCCATGCTCTGTCCGTTGGCGCTGGGGCACACGTGCACCCCAGCAGGCTGATACATAGGCCGCAGCCACGCATGCAAACCCGTGCCTGCAAGTACGTGCATGGCCCACATCTGCACACACGCCCCTCCATAACTGCGTTCTCCCCTCGCTCGGGCCCCGCACACGTGGGCACACAGGAAAGCCCGCGCACCCAGCCCCGAGGGCCGACACCCAAAGACTGGAGGGAGGACAGGAGCAGGGGGCGGCCTGGCCGCAGTGTCCGGGCAGCCACCGCCTCGGGGCGATCCCGCCAGCCTGGGCTGCGGCCAGAGGGTGAGTCAAGCCGTAGCGAGGAAACCGCAGGGCCGTCCCGTCCCAGTAGGGCGCGTCCAGGGCCCCGCGGCGCCTCAGCTCCCGCGGCCCCCCACCCCAGGCCCAGCCCCCCGCCGCCCCCACATCTCCGCCCCGGCAGTCCACGTGAGCGGGGCCCCCTGGGAGGCCCGAGGGCTCAGCCCGAGCTGCTCCTCGCCAGCCCCTCGCCGGATCCGGCGCCAGAGCCTCGCCGGCGCTGCGGGGCGCTCCCAGGCCCCGGGGGCCTCGAAGTCCGGGGAAAGTCGGAGCATCCGCGCGCCCCCTGCCCCGCAGCCCGCCCGCCCGGGGCCCGCCGCAGCCGGGAGCGGCAGCACCTCGGCCCAGGCCCGGCGCGCTCCATGCCCCGGCCGACCGGTAGGGGCGCCCTGGGGCAGCGCCACCCGCCCCTTCTCCGCGCGCCGCCCGCAAACTCGGCCCAACTTTCCGCGCCGAGCCGACGAGCTCCTACCTGCAAGGCGCCGGGCTTCCCGCTGCTGCTGCCGGGGGCCGCGGCCGCATCCTCCAGCCCCCTGGAGGCCGCGGGTCCTTGTCCGGCCGGGCCCTGCGCGGGAAGTCGCGGTGAGCACCGAGCGCGGAGACACCCTCCTCGCGGCCGTTCGCGCCGCCGCTGGGCGCCGTCTGCGGTCCCGGGCTGGGCGGGCTGGGGGCGGGGCGGGGGCGGGGCGGCCCGCGCGGTGGAGGCTGAGCCGGGCCGCGCCTCTGGGAGCCCGCGATCCCCTGGGCGTGGGGGTGCGGAGGGCCTGCGGCGGCCAGCTCTACGAGGACCCTGCCGCGCGTGCTGTGCACTGTCTGTACCCATCGCATTCCCCGAGCCGCTGCTCAGCGCGCCCAGCACACGCCTTCATTCAGTCACTCCGTTAGATCATTCATTCGTTGCCACTTTCTAGCTACGTGGCCTCGTGCATGCCTCTTGACCTTGTTGGGCTTCAGTTTCCTTATTTTAGTAAAAGTGGAATTCTGTCCTAGTGGTGGTGGTGTAAAGGCTTAGAAAAGGTTGTATTAAGATGTCTGGCACGCAGTAGGTGTTCTGGCTACCTTGGCCAGTACTAGTTGCATTAGGGAGCTGAAGAAGGGCTCCTGAGTCTGTCCCCACATCTCAGTGCAGCCACTGAGGGGAAATTCCAGACAAATGTATCTCAATCCCTGTTAGGGCACCACGTGTAGGTGAGGAAGGGGTGATTTCTCCATCACTGTAGTGGGCCAGGAATGAAGGTGCTTGCGGTTGCTAAGTGGCCTCAGTGGGTACCTCAACCTCTTTGGCAAACCTCCCTCACTAAGATAGGCCTGAACATGTGAAGCTTGGGAGGTGGGATGGGATGGAGCGTTCCCAGCCAGGAATGGTATGTTGCAGAGAGAGGGGCTGGAGGGGTGGATGGGCTGTCTCCATTTGCCCTGACTCCCTGGGCCATCTAATTTTGGATGTGAAGCCCCTCGATGCTGCTATCTTCTCACGGGTCGGGCCTGGTTAGTACTTGGACGGGAGGCTGCTATCTTCTCTAAAGAAACCTGGTCCCTCACAGTTCCTGGGCTGCCCAAGGACTAGGGACAGGTGTGTGCAGTGGAGGAGGGGGGAGGCAGGTGGCCATGCCAAAGGTCAGAGCAAGTTCATGGGGCAAAACCACCCAGGCCACCGGCTCGGATCCCAAAGGTCAGGTCTGCCTGAGTCAGAGGGCAGAGGAGGCCTGAGGCCATAGGTTCCCAGAGTCAGGAAGCAGCTGGAGCTGAGGAGGAGGGGCTGGACACTGCAGGTAAGAAAAGGAAGAGGAAGTGGAGGTCACCTGGGGGGAGGGGAGCGAGTATCAGTTGAGAGCTGGAGGGTCCTGAGAGTCTGGAGAGATCTGAGGAGCAGAGACTCAGAGAGGTTTGGGGCTTTCCCAGGGTTACACAGCAGGCTGGAATAAAAACTCAGATCTCCTGGCTCCCACACCTTCACATCAGGAAAGTACACCTGTGGGTGACAACTGGGGGTCATGGCCAAACCTCAGTTCACAGGCTATTCATCCCTACTCTTGCTCCTCACCACTCTGCCCTCCCTCCCACTCACCGTTCTTTAGCACAACACCC